AAGCGGGAGAGCAAGGGACGTCTATGTCGGCAGCCTGTGGCAAAAGGAGATCAGCGAAGATCCGTGCTTTCTCTCCACCATGATGTAACTCAAATGGTGTGACGCAGATCGCCGGGTGCACCGAAGTGTTATAGGCGAACTCGATGTTGGGAAGCCGGTCAACCCAATCTTTCTGGTCGGGGCGGATGAGCGCACACAACATCATCTGAGCGGTCTGGTGCACTCGCTCCGTCTGGCCATCCGTCTACGGGTGCCGAGCCGAGCTCGGCTTCATTGTCGTATCAACTCGGCCATGATGGAAGTCCAAAAGGCCGACATGAAGCGAGTATCTCGGTCGCTCATTATGTCTTTCGGAATAATCCAACCGGTGTGCAAGAGTCGTGCGCGCTCAGGCGCTGCAGCATGATACTTGCAAGGAAGGAAGCGAGCATACTTGCTCAAACGGTCAACGACCGTGAGAATACCGTCATGGCCGTGGCGATCGCGGGGAAATGGGCCTGTCACGTCCATAGCAATGGAGAGGCGTGGTGCCCGAGGAATCAGCAACGGTTTCAGTTCGCCGAAGGGGACTCGAGATCGACCCTTGTTACGGTGGCAAACTGCACATGACTCAATGTACCTCGTGACGTCATGAAGGACGTCGGGCCAGTGAAAACGCTGGCGGAGGCGTGCAAATGTGCGGTTCACGCCAAGGTGTGCCGAAAGTCGTGCGTCGTGGAATTCGCCVAGAAGACGAGTCCGTAAGATGCGATCTTGGGGCACAACTARCAAGTCCTTTCCTCTSGTGTGAAGGAGAAGGAACCCGTCGGAAATCTGATAGTGGCTAGCCGGCGGGTGATCCGATGAAAGCTCCGCGTAAAGCGTAGAGTAAGTCGGATCGGTCTTGTAGCCTTTGACGAAATGCGGCTGCAGATCGTCATCACGGTCGAATGCCGTGGTCACAATGGCACAAAAGTTGGGCCGTCGTCAGAGGGCGTCCGCAGCTCGATTGGCGGGACCGGGAATGTGGCACGGGTCAAAATCGAACTGGTCGATGTAATACATCCATCGAACGATCGTGCTAGTGACCGTATCCTGCGTTTTGTAAAAGGTCAACGGATTGTTGTCCGTATTCCATTTAAAACGCCGACGGCCGAGAAGAAAGTGGCGCCACCGTTTGAGAACGGTGACGGACGCGAGTGGCTCTTTCTTCCTAGCGTCGTTGAGAGTGTTTACGAGAGGCACCTTTTGGGAGAAGTACTCGACCGGATGCCAACCGTCCTCGTGACACTGTTCCAACACCGCACCAATACCGTATCCTGAAGCGTCCGTAGTCACTTGGGTGGGWAGGGTGGGGTCATGTATACGGAGGGCAGGTGCGGCTTGCATTGCTGCCTTCAACGTAGTGAACGCGCCACGGGCTGCGTCGTCGAACTCGAAGGGCACCTTCGGGGACTGAAGTCCCGACAAAGGAGCAGCCACTTTCGAGTATGACTCGACGAATCGCTGATAATATCCAGCCAAACCCATGAAAGAGCGTACATCCGTCGTGCAACGGGGTTCCGGCCAATCCACGATGGCTTGGATCTTGTCCGCTAAGGGACGAATGCCTTTCGGCGTGACAAAATGGCCCAAGTACTCTAGCTCTTGCTTGGCGAATTCGCACTTGTCGAGATTCGCTTTGTACTTGGCTAGCCGCAAACGATTCAAAACAACGCGAAGGTGTACGATGTGCTCGTCCAACGTCCTACTGTAAACCAAGTTGTCATCAAGGTAGATGAGGACTCTGCGATCGAGCAAGTCGCGAAACTCAGTCGTCATCGCTGCTTGAAACGTTGCGGGGGCATTGGTGAGGCCAAAGGGCATGACAACCCACTCAAAATGCCCGTACCGCGTCTTGAACGCGGTCTTGTACCGGTCTTGAGGCTGGATTTCAATCTGGTGGTAACCTGACTTCAAGTCCAACTTCGAGAAGTACGTCGCGCCGCCTAACCGCTCAAGAAGATCATCAATCCGAGGGAGAGGGCCGGCGTTCTTTACGGTTTGTGCGTTAAGTTTCCGATAATCAATGCATAACCGTAGATCTTTGTTCTTCTTCCGGACGAAGAGAACAGGGGCACCGTATGGCGAGCAACTAGGGCGAATCCAGCCCTTGTCGAGAAGGTCATCGAGTTGTGCGCGAAGCACCTCGAGTTCCTCTTCGCTCATGCGGTAGATACATCCACGCGGAGGGACGGCGCCAGCCTCGAGAGTGATCCCGTGACGTATGGGCCGATCCGGAACCGTTGCGGTGGGAGCCTCGAAGACGTCTCTATACTCGTCCAAGAGGTGAGAAATGCGTGGGTCCGGCGGTGACGCGGCTGGTCCGTCCGACGAGGGGAGAGCATGCAAGAATACAAGGCCCATCTCCTCGACGTCATTCCGAGCAATGGCGTCGCGAATTCTCGCAACGGAAACCACGTGACAAGCAATTGAAGTGTGAGAGGTCGCGACCGTACATGGGACTAACATTCCGTTCCGATCACGGATGTGAACGGTTCGGTCATGAAAGTTCACCGGATGATCGGCGCTACGCAACCAAGACATGCCTAGAATCATGTCGAACTTGGTGTCGAGGATGTCAAAAGACACCGCCTTGCATGCAAGTGGCGCAAATGACTTTTGCGTGCGGCCGTCCGCGAGTGTGACTTGCGTGGGTTGCGTCTTCCTTCGAACACGCGGGCCAAGGCCTGCGCGGGCCATAAAGGCTTGGCTCATAAAGTTGTGAGACGCTCCGCAATCAATCAAGGCACTACAGGTTGCCTTTCCGATTTGAATGCGGATATAGAGCAAAGGCGCGTCGGTTTCGGTGCACCTTTGGGTGGCGTACTCGTGGTCAATCTTTGCAAGATAGGAGCGGAGATCGACAACCGCTACTCCGTCGTCCGTCAACGGAGCTGGTACTGTAGTGTGCAAATAGGAGCGTAGATTTGCCATCAAGGCGTTGCAATGCGGCCTTGGCAAGGTTCCGGTCGAGGGTAGAGGCATCCAAGCGAAGTCCTTTCTCGTGAGCGGGTCAAGCTCCTCAAGTCTTGACCACGCCGTCGAGTCCTCGGAAATCAGTGGCGAACTGACCGGATCACTTGCCGACAGTGTACAGGCTGCGCAYATGCAATCTAAGTGCACGTGGCTCGGCTGGTCTAGTGGTGGTACCAACTGGGCGGCATAATCCTCGTACGTAGCACGAGAATCAGCGACTAACGCATGCTCCCCGGTAGTGACATCGATTGCTAGCAAGGCAACCGGTTCCGGCGGAGTGAGGAGAGACGTCGCCCCTCTCCTTGCGTAACTCAGTTTCCCGAGTTTGCTGGACGGGGTACGCGTGTCTTGCCCTTTTCGGGGCATTGTGCGGTCAAATGCATGACGTCGTTGCACCAAAGGCAGTATCCGTACTTTTGACGAAGGTCATAGACATCCTTGGTTATCTTGTAACCCGTCCGTGACTGCTGCCCAGTTCCCGTCGATGCCGTTTCTTGTGTCGCCTTGTTCTTCCGAACTCTCTTGGGACGCTTCGGCGGGAGTGCTGCTACAATTCCTCCATCACTCGAGGATGCTGCTGCAGCGTGGAGATCGTCTGTTTCTTTAGAAATCACGACATTAATTTGTGCCGGACGTTGATAGCCCTGCTTAGCCACATAATGCGGCTGGGATTGTTTCTCATTAGCGGCCTTGTCGTCCGTTTGGATGACCAGGTTTGCGCGATCCAAGATAGCCTGGAACGAGGTATAGTCGTACTCGTTACCAAGTGCAGACCACAATCCTGCGGACGATCGCGAGAAGAACTCGGATCGTTGATTAGGAAAACTCAAATCGAAGCCTGGCGTGGTCACTATCTTCTGCCACTTGGTTGTCCAGTCTCGAGTTGGCATACTCCCTTGAGAGCAGGTGTACACCTCGTTCATGGACGCCTTCACGACGTTGCGGACCATGAACCGGGTGAACCATAGCTTCTCGAACTCTTTCCACGTGAGGTGCGTGTGGAGTTCGACGATGGTGCATTTGTGGGTAGTCGCCAGATGGTTCATCCATGCCTACGCTCCTCCAATCAGTTGTAAGTATAGTGCCTTCATCATGTCGTCAGTCGGGACAGTGCGGCATGATGCTTCCGCGAGGAAACGTTGCCACCATGCCAAAGCGTCCGTCTTGTTGTGGTCGTCGAACTTGCTGATGTCGAAGTGCAGCATCTTGTAATTCTTCGTGGCGGCGTCCGGTTTCGTCTGCAGCTTGGTGATGTCCGTCTTGATGGCGGCCACCGTGCTACTGATCATGTCCGGCCCATTGAAAACACCTATGTCGCCGATGAGATTGACGACGTGATCGATGCGCCCATTGAGCTGCTTCGTCATGTCTGTCATATCTGTCGTGCAGCCTGGCGCTGCTTGGGAAGGCCTTGCCTCCAAGGTAGCAATGCGTGCATCTAGCTGTTTCAGCTGGTTGTCTGCGACCTTGACAACTGCTGCAAGTATCTTCACGTTGTGGTCAGGTCGTGCTGCAGCTGCAGTGTGGACTAAGAATGCAACTCCCCCATGGTGCTGTTCCAAATGACGACGCGCATTGTATGGAGTAGAATATCTGCCAGGTCTTGCCTCTCCTGCTGTACTGTTGTCGGCTCGTTGCCGGTTACCGGGACATAATGCATCCCGTTGAGCACCGCTGTCCATTGTGCTTGGTTAGCACTTACAAGTTCAGCGCTGCCGGCGTTGAGCTGATCGATCGCCAACCGGTCTGCCTCGGCTTGACGCCGGGTTTGTGCTGCAGCTTCCTCTGCTAGCCGTAGTCTTTCGGCTGCGGCAGCCTCTTGCTGTTCCTTGACCTGGGTGAGTGCGGCTGTATAGTCCTGCATTCTCTGAATGAAGTYCGGGAGGGGCTCATTCGACCCTTGCACCGGACAAACCGGTAAGGGTTCGGCATTACTAGCTGTCGAACCCTCGGATGATGATCCGCTGTGTGGCGTGTTCGCCATCTGAGTACTGGTCTGTGGCGGTTGTGGAACTGGGGGTTGCTGTTGCTGTTGGAGATCGGCGATCCTCTTGCTGCGTCGTGGCTGCTGTTCGGAGGCTGGCCCTGCTGGCATCAGAAATTGTTGTTGAAGACTGGCTCGTCCGAAGGATCGCAGAACAGTGTGAGGGAGAGGGTGGGCACAGGGATAGAACAGATCAAGCAATAAACATACAGTCCATGTCCCAAGGATGGACTAAGACACCTAATCAAACAAAAAAAAATAAATTTTCCCGTAAACAATTTGAAAATTCGTAATAAGAATAATAATAATGAATTATTTAATCAATAGGTTTAATTAATGATTAATACAAAAGAATAATTCTTAATGATAATCAATAAACAATCTTTGCAATAATGATTTCTTAACGATAATCAATTAAAACAATATTTGCAATAATGATAATGAGCGAATTTGAATTGTTATCAAGATCAGGTATCCATTGAGATCATCGTTGAGTCCGGGAGTTCACCGTTAATTAATGAACTACCCGGAAGTTGCAATGCTGAGGGTCAGAGTCAGATTAGTTTGCCAAAAAATTTTCGGACAAAAATCAGGAAAAAAACACTCGAATTTCCAAAAACGTGAATTTTCGGGAATTTCCACTGTCAAAGTCCGATTTTTAAACGCCTAAACCCGTTTTCGGAATTTCTCAAACAAGGGGAACGAAAAAAATTTCGCGAAAATTTCGGTCCCAACCCTAATTTTTTCGCGTTTCGGCGGAATTTTCGGATTATGGTCCCAAAACGTTCGAATTCCCCAAGTTGATCTAAAACCAAAAAGATTTCATAACCCTAATTTCCAATACTGAACGAAAACGGAAATACCAAAAGAAAACGAAATATAGGATTTACAACAGAATGCCGAAATTGGAAAGTTGAATGGAAATCAGAATGCCGAATTTCAAACAGGATACTGATTCAACCCTAATACGTTTAAAATCAGAAATCCGAATCTTGACAAATTATCGGATTAGTTACTCAATCGGAACCCAAATAAACAGCATACCGGAAGAAAACAAAAATCCGAATTATAAGTCCGAATACCAAATTGAAACGGCAATGCCGAAATAAATAGAATACCGAGAAAGAGAAAAAAAAAAAATTGCAACTTTGAACTCGATAGTAATTCAGAGCTGATTTGGATGATTGAAACAACAATCTCCTTCCTAATCAGACTTACTTGGTGAGCAGATCCGGTAAATGGTCTGCTCCGATACCAAAACTGTTACATACTTCAACGAGTATGGGCAGAACCAAAGATCAACCAATATAGGATGAGCGTATATGCAGCGGAAGTCTGATAAACGGACTGACTCACATAGACTGACTCACATAGGTATCACTCTGCACACATACAATCATGAGATGGTGGGGTCTGGGCCAACCATAGACGATGCCCAGATCCCGTACACACATACACAGATGAAAGGTGGGAGGAGAGACGAAGGAGGTGGGGAAGGTAGACAACACCGATAGGTCACCGAGATAAAATCCAATAGGTCACTGATATGGTAGTCCAAAATGTCATCCAACAAGCTCAAAATGTCGAGGACAATCAGTCACCAATGTCGGAGATACAGAGCCCAAATGTAACCGGTGTCCGAACTGTGATGCCGCCAAGTATCAACCCCAACAATCTCCAAGTCTCCAATCCGGTAAGTACCACAGGCTCATACCACCGACGTCCAACCTTGATCTCTGTCCAACTAGTATAAGTCTCCAATCTGAAGAAGAAGAAGAAGAAGATGGAATGTGAGAAGAAGAAGAAGAAGGGAGCCGAGGAGGGGAGAGAGAGAGAGAGGGGACTGGCGATGGGAGGGAGGAGAGAAGCCTCCAACTCCCGATACCTCAGGCGGCTATGGCCGCCGATACACTCAGTCGTCGCTGCTGCTGCTCCGCTCGCTGCTGCTGCGCTAATGCTGCGCTGCGCTGCTCCTCGCTGCTCCTGCGCTAAACTTAGCGCCAACGCTGATTCGCGCTGTACCATACCGCACCGTAGCGTGCCGGTGGGTCGATAGCGTCGCTGAGGCTTGGACCGGTACTTTTGTACCGTTGGGGCAGAGGCCGGCCTCAATGCTGCGAGGCCTGGCCGTGCCCTGCACCGTCAAGATGGACGGTTCAGCCCCAACCGGCGGGCGGCAGCCTCAAGAGCGCTGCCAGGCCCAAATGGTAATGTCGTTTGGGCCTGCCCGTCGGGTCTGGTCCAAGGTAAGGCCTTTACGGCCTGTAGTACCTCCAAGGTCGGGCCTTTAGGCCCAAATATGTCCCTCTAACCCTAGGTCGGGTCCGGTAGGACCCGTGTGGCGTCGAAGATGTAACAGTACCATGGCCTGGTGGTTGACAGGTTGGAGAGACAATGCCCAGCGAACAAGATACTGAAACTGATTTTGTCGATGCCTGCCTTTTTGTACCCACACGTTGGAACAATGACTGCCATCCTTGAAGTAAAAGCCGACGACCCGCCAGTCTTTCCACGCGAGTGGGAGTTTCACATCGAGGGCAAAGTTTTGGAAGTCGTTGTCTCCACCAGATCTTCCCCGATCTGTTTCAGATGCAGGGAAAGGGGGCATTTGGGATCAGACCCGACATGCCCCAAATTCCCAAAAAAACAGAAGGAGAGGAAGTTGCTTCCCAACATGCTGGTCGAAGTGGAAGAAGCACCGGGCACCGGGTTCATAGTAGACCCAGCCTATGATGGATGGGTCTTCGATGATAGCCTGGAAGACTCGGAATGGGTCTAGCACTTCTCAGACAAGGAGCCAACAACGAAAAAAACAAATATCTTCCCTCCCGCTGACAGCAGATGGCAAAAGAAAGCAATAGGCAAAGAATCAGGTAACCCAGCGAAGATCAACATGATTCCTCTCAATGATTCTCGAGTCATTCTGGAGGAAAAGGTGAGGGAAAACCTGCTCTGGGATTTGGACTTTGTTCAGGAACAAATTGAAGAAGAGTACCAAAAACAGCCCGAGAAGATTCAGGCCAAAATCGAAGCCTTCATCAATCGTAAAGAAGATGAACTGAAACAAGAAGCAAGCAAAAACAGGAAACAGACTTCGGTTGCCAACAAGAGAACAATTGAAGAGGTAAGAATGAAGGAAGGGGGTGAACCGGACCTCAAGAAGAGAAAAGGGGCCACTTCGGACAGCAAAGTGGGATCAGGGAACCATTGGTAAGTGAGCAGGAACCAACCCCCTCCCCCCCTTCAGAGGGAACCCAGATGGACAGTGACCAGTCCACCGGAAACTCTAAAGCCGCGGACCCCTCTTCGGAATCAGGTGAGGAGGACCCAGCCAAGAGATCCCTTCAATGGATGAGAGTACATTGAAAGAGCCAAAGTAGAACGCAAACACCTGTTCGACATCCGAACTGCGTGCCTAAAACACATGGACAGAACTCACAACCAAAAGAAGGGAACAGTAGCAGGAATCAAGACCTCCTCCAACCAGTATGACTTGTTGGTAAAGGCTGAGGAATTCAATGAATACGCAGCACTCAAATATGCTGAGAAAAAGAGCTCAAGAGAACAAGGTCTCATGGACACAGACATCACCCAAGTGGAATCAAAAGCAGCCCTGCAGGACTTGAGGTCGAAGAAATGGAGAAGCAGCATAAATCACAAGAAGAAAGGTGTCAACAGGGAGGGAAAGGAAATGGACCCCTCAGGTAAAACAGCACGGACTGAGCTGGAACAAGAAATTGCGGTGGTGGAAGCCCAGTCCAAAGTCAGGACAGGCCCAGTCTGCAAAGCTGACTTTGATGGGCACCAGACCTCTAGTCGCAGCAAGATACATGGAAATAAAAAAGGAGTGGCAGGTAGCTACAAATGTGGCTTTCACCATCCCCAAGATTGAAGAAGGCTAAAATGTGGCCACCATTCTGCAAGAAAAGATCACAGCGGTTTACCCATTGGGGATATTTGAAATGGAGTCCCAGATGGGTCAGCAGGAGGAGTTGCTGGTCTTGGAACCACAAGAAGAACATCTTGACACAAAAGAGCAGCCAGGCCACAACGAGTCCCAGGAGGATCAGCCGGACCCCAGATCCCCGAGGTCATTCACTGCTATCATAGCCAAGATGCCTGAAGTTACAACACTCAAGGGAGGGATGAGATGGCGGCCATGGAGCACAATAATGGCCATCCCCTACAGCGTGCTGTCGGGGATGGGCATCCCTACGGAGCTATAGACTGCCTCCTTAGCAGAGATGATCGGCAATGGTACCTTCGATGGAGATGGTGACCTATAGTCAAGAGCATGGGCAGTGGATATGGACAAATTCCACAATGACGTCTACTCCTCAGAAGATGAAATGGAGGATGACCAAGAGGGATGGAACATGGAGAAAGGTGAGTTACAATCGGATTTACCCACATATGAGGGGACTAGTGTCAGTTTAAGGGAATACAAGATAGACGACCCGAAGGCCTCGACCCAGCCCGACAAACCGGGAGACTCAGATGAGTCTATGGAGACGGGGGGTTCGGGCGTTTCTTTTTGAGCTCCAATATGCTCGAGTTCACCTTAACCTAATTGTCCATGGAGGAGATAAGAAAAACAACAAATGAAACAGGAGGTAAGGTGAACTGGAAAACCCAGGGGATCTCTATCCGAAGCTGGAACATTAATGGGCTGGGGAACATCATGAGTAAAGAAGACAAGCTGAACGATATAATTAAAGGCCTCAAAAGCCCATTCAATAAATCTGTGGATATCATACCACAGCAAAAAACTCGCCTAACCAACTTTGAGGAACACTTTAAGGTAATAAAATTTTTCACAAGGAGATTAGGAGGAGTCAAAGATGAAATATGGGCTACAGACTCCAACTCAGCCACCAAAGGGACAACCATCCTCATACCCAAATCCTCACGCCTGTACTCAGCCGGCGCAGTGGTGAGTTGTGAAGCAAACTGTGTCATAGGCAGGTGGGGCTGGATTGATCAAAAGTGGAAGGAAGAAGAATTCAGAATAATCAACGTTTATGTTCCCAACAACGCCACAGAAAGAGCAGCCTTCATTCAGACAGTAGGACGATTAATCACACCGGCCTCCCCTTGTGTTATAGCAGGGGACTGGAATACAACCATCGATCCCTGTAGTGACAGAATTTCCAAAGCAACATCTCAACAATCTTCTCAGGAAGCAATTCCAATCATCCAACTAATGATGGATCATAGTTTGATTGACCCCTTCCGCACATTACACCCTGAAACAAATGCCTTCTCCTTGGTCAAGAAAAATCACGCCCACCACACAGACTTCTCTAGGATTGACTATTTTCTAGCCTCCGAATCTATGATAGGTGCGGTCAAGGAAGCCAACATTATGGCACTTGCCCCCAATCCAGGACTTGACCACAAACCCATCAAGCTAATCCTATGTTAGTAACAGCGATGAAAGCATTCAGGCTTAACTCCCTATCGAGCTAATCCTAAGCCAGACTTTCAGAGAGAGGATTCAGGAATGTTGGTTTAACTCTAGAGGCATGCTGTTAGAGGGCCAAGACAGATGGAGGTGGTTTCAAGAGAGCTACCTCTCACTATCACAATCAACTGTGCGAATATCCCGACAACTAGTAAACGACCGCAGACAAAGGAAACTATATCTAAAAACGACCATAAAAATTGTTGAAGCCAACCTCATGAGGGATCCCTATTCACCCCTATACACAGCTACCTAGAATAAGCTAGGGAAGAGATGTCATTATGGAGAATGTGGGAGCTGAGATGTCTCCAGATAAGGGCAAAAATGACTGACTACGAGTTAAATGAATCAATGAGCAAACATTTTTTTGCCACAATAAAAGCGAACAACAGATCCAACACGATAGAAGGTCTTTTTTTTTTTTTTTTTTTTGAACATAAGCTCCAATCTATTCGTGGGGAGCATCACGTGCTGAGAACCGGGCTCAACGTCCCTTTGAAGTACAACTGAGAATATGTAACGCATTTGAAATTCCGGGGCCATTACCCGGCTTCGGGTAGGAAAGCAATCAGTCAATAACCTATGAAGATCTAAAAGAATGCACAGGCGAACAAAGCACCAGAATAGACGGTGAAGGGATGCTCCAAATAGCCAAAGGGTTTTACCAGGAGCTGTACCAGAAGAAAACCCTCTCCCCCACCCCACAGCAGTAAAAGAGGCAAGGTAAAAAATGCTTTCAATATCTGGACAAAACGATTACAACAGAACAGGGTGCAGTGCTGGACAAACCAATTACCCATGAAGAACTAAAAACAACACTGAAAAGCATGAACAATGACGGTGAAGGGATGCTCCAAATTAGCCAAAGGGTTTTACCAGGAGCTGTACCAGAAGAAAACCCTCTCCCCCCCCGCACAGCAGTAAGAGAGGCAAGGTAAAAAATGCTTCAATATCTGGACAAAACAATTACAACAGAACAGGGTGCAGCGCTGGACAAACCAATTACCCTTGAAGAACTAAAAACAGCACTGAAAAGCATGAACAATGACAAGTGCCCAGGCATAGACGGACTCACCAAAGAATTTTGGGACCTGTTCTGGCCAGTTATGGGGAATGACCTCCTACAGTCCTACCAAGATAGCTGGGAAAAGGGAGGTATGGGCTAATTTCTGAGTAGCAGCGTGGTGACCCTGCTTTATATAAAAGGAGACCGTGAAGACGTTCGAAACTACATACCTCTCTCTCTTCTTACTCTCCCCTGCAAGATTCTAGCAAAAGCATTGACCCTCATAATTCTTGACCTTACAGACAAGTGCTTCCATATAGACCAAGCTGGATTCATCCCAGACAGGTACATTCTGGACAACGTCCTTACGCTGAACGAGGCCTCCTGAAAAGTAAGAGAGAAGAGATTGAATACAACGATATTTTTCTTTGATTTTGAGAAGGCATACGACCAAGTCAATTGGGCATTCCTTAACACGAGCATGGAAATAATGGGGGTCGGACATAACTTTAGGAGGTGGGTAAGGATCCTCTATAGCGACGCATCTGGTTGTGTCCAGATCAACGGACTGTTATCCGAAAGATATCCAATTTCTCGCTCAGTACAACAGGGTGATCCCCTCGCTCCACCTATATTTTTATTCCTGATGGAAGCCATTGCCTCCTTTTTGCGTAAAGACCCATCAATTCAATGTTTACCGGACCTTGACACGGGCACACCGCACCATATTAAATTCCCAACAGTAATAATGTTCGGGGATGACCTCACTGTCCTAA